GGTCTCCGGTGGTACATTGTTATTTACACCACCTACCATAACGTTCATCGCACGACAGGTGCGTGACCAATGCCCAGTTCCACCACACCTATGACAGGTATCTCTATTCTGATTTTGATTCTGATTCGGGGCTCTATTCTGCTGCGCACCTCTAGGTCGAGCATTGTTACCTCCTCTTGGCATATTTCCCCTTTGCCCATACTGTGGGGGACCATTAGGTGGCCTATTATAAGGAGCATGTCCACCCCTATTACCCCGTCCTCTCACTCGACGATTGAACCCACGGCCTCTGCCTCCTCCACGATTGTTTATGTTGACCAAATTTGCTTCTGGCAAAGGTTGAGGATTTCGATTGACCAAATTTGCTTCTGGCAAAGGTCGAGTACCAATTGGTCGAGCCTGGTTGTTCTTCAAAAGAAGATCAAGGTTCTTCTCGGCGAGGAGCAGAATTGTGACCAACTCTGAAAACTGAGTATAGTTCTTGGCTCTATACTGTTGAGACAATATCATATGTGAGGCAGGGAATGTAGAGTACGTCTTCTCCAGAATCTCAGCATCAGTTAGTTTCTCTCCACAAAACTCCAGGGTGGATTTGATGCGACATACTTCAGAGTTATACTTGTTAACGGTTTTGAAGTCCATAAACCGTAAGTGAATCCATTTGTTTCTTGCTTCAGGCAAGAGGATTGTCTTTTGGTGATCAAATCGACTGGCCAGGGCATCCCATAGTATTTGGGGATCCTCAATCGATGAGTAGTCCAAACGGAGGACCTCATCTAGGTGCCTCCTAATCAGAATCATGGCTTCAGCCTTCTGGGCTTCGTTAAGCAGATTTTCTTTAACAATAGCCATCCTCAGTTTCTTACTAGTGAGATGGATCTTAACATCCATTGTCCAACTCACGTAGTTCTCACCAGATACATTCAAAGGGGTGAAATCAAGTTTGCTCAAATGTTCCATCCTATCGTACATAGACAAAGAATACATGCGAATCAAATTATTGTGTATTACTTTTATGTCATGAAATTTGCATATGACGTGATACAACCACATATAGCATATATGATAAGCATATAATTCACATATGTTCGCATAGAATTTGCATATGACGTTATATATTTCACATATATAGGGATGATTTTATTCACTGGTCATATAACATTAAATATCCAAACATGTACGCAGAATATTCATAGTGAAATCATTCTACAAGAATATTACATATTACTCATCTTGACAAACAGATTAATTCATAAACTTCTTATCTTCATTCACCAACAAAGTACAACTCATATAACAATCTATTCATGAATCATACAGTACTCGAAACATCAACCGAGATTTTCAAACAAATATCAAATGACATCAAATAAATATGCTACACAACTTTTCATGCTAATTCGAATTTATCTAACATGCATTCATATAATAAAGAATTTCAAGGGGTTAAGGCTTACTTGGAAATTGATAAAATTCAGATACTATAGAGAAGATTATACGTTCTACGAAAGTAGATCACCGTCTCACAAACGAACCACGCTCACAATTTCTCCAAGTATTCTAGCCCCACGAACAATTGTTCTTCCACGATCACCGCGAGCAATTCGTGCTGATAACGTGTTGTAAATCGCCCTAATGGTATTGCTTTTCGGTTTGATGATTGTGGAAAATAAAGTATAGCAACAATAATAAAGGATAGAGAGAGAATGCAAAGACAAAAATCCGTAGAGAGAAATTAATAAGGGTGTAAATATGGGGAGGGAGAATTCCATTATATAGGTGAAAAACCACCGGGAGTTACAAGAGAAGTTACACAAGAGGTTATTCTACCACTAACACATAATGGGAAGACATGGGGTAGGTTAGTGATTTAGTGGGAAGTTGGGTGGTTGTGTTAGGAAACCCCACACACATATTATTTACAACAATATAAATGAAAATGTTAATTTTTTCCCCATTTTGATATTTAGAATTGGATTTGCCTCCAAAATTATCCAACTCATCATTCGCTTTTTTGAGTCCATCAAAGATCTAACCGATTTGGTAAGAACACAACCGAAAAAAGTGAAAACAACATAAACCCAAAAAGTGAATACACACACGTGACAAAGAGTTTGCTATTATTAGCTAAATTTTACTAAGTGTTAGGAGAATGCTAAGAATATTTTGTTATGATACGATTCTTGAATGATTACAAATGAATGTCTCTACTCCTATTTATACAAATCCACCTCCTTAATGGACGGTGGCCGTGATTAATTTGATCTAATGGTCAGGAATTATTCTCACTCCAAATAAATCCTACAAATATCAACAAAAGAGGTTTTTAGAAAGTCTTTTAGAATCTTATAAGAATCTCTACAATTTTGCTATACGAAACCAAACCGAACCCAAAAATTGAAATCAAAACCGAAATTAAACCCAAACACAAAACTGAAACCAGAACCGAAACCAAAATCGAAAACCAAAAATCGAAAGCGAAACCAAAACAAAAAAACTTGGGCCTAATTTAACCGTCAGCCATTGAAAAATGGCAAACTGCTTGAACGATCGTACTTAGCATCTTTGAACCGTGGAAAGTGGCAAATTGCTCGCTCAAAATAGACGACATGTAACATCAGTGTCCCTATCTATACCCGCTTCTAAGGATGGAAATCAGTGCATAATTTATGAATTCAATTGGTCTCGATCCAATAGTTTTCAATTTTAGAACATGTTTCATTCTAAATTTCGAAAGAGGGGTGGCTAGAACTAATACCAAAATTTGCTTACTTTAATATCACTAAAAAAATAATTAGATAATAAATAGTAAATGACATAAATACCCATAATGAAAATCAAAACCAAAATACATTACAAATCTCATTTTTCTTTCTTCAATACCAAACACACAAACCCCCCTCAAACCCATCTCCCTCTTCACAAACCCCTCACCTCCTCCTTCTTCTTCTTCTTCTTCCTACCAACAAACCCTCTTAAAAAATCTCAAAACTAAAGAAATCAAAACCTTACACAACTTGCAAAATGGAGTCAAATGACAATAAAATGGTAGTTTACGAGCAAGGAGAACTCATTAAGGTATGTATCCAAGTCTTTTTGAGCTTCAAAGTCAATTTTGAAGATTTTTGTTTTTTAAACCTGCCATAGATTTTCGACACATACATGTCGAATTTTCTGGTCAATCTTTCGACTCCAAACTTGTCGACAAATTGTATTTAAAAGAAAAAAATAAAAAGGTAAAACCCTATTCAGCATATACATGTCGAAAATTTGAGAAATTAGGACATGTATGTGTCGAATTTGTTTTTTTTTTTTTTTTTTTTTTTTAAATACAACTTTCGACAAGTTGGTGTCGGAAATTGACCAAAAATTCGACATGTATGTGTCGAAAACAGTAGGCGAATTTAAAAAAAAAACTAAAAAATAGACTTTGAAGCTCAAAAAAGACATGAATACATATTTTAATGAGTTCCCCTTGTATGTAAACCACCATTTTATTGTCTTGTGACTCCATTTTATAAGTTTTGTGAGGTTTTGCTTTTTTTGAATTTTGAGATTTTTTGTATGGTTTTTTGTAAGTAGGACTGGCAATCGGGCCATGTAAGCCGAACTTGGGTCGACTCAAGCTCATATACCATCGGACCTCGTTATTATAGGCTCAAACTCACTTATCATCGGGCCTCATTAGTGCAGGCTCAAACTCGGCTCATGTATTTTTTCGGATTTCGGGTTTCGGGTTTATATCGGGCCCTATTACTATATAAAATAATGAGTAAGAAAAATTATAAAAATATGTGATAAACAAGATTTACCTTCATTAAAGTCAATCCATAAAAACTTAAACGATATTTGCAAGTTATTGGAAAAACTTAAAAACAAGACCAAAAGAAGTAAATAGATTAGTAACTCTTGTTATTGGAAATGTTATATATACTCAAATCTCGGTGGAAATTTCAGCAATTGGATTTCAGTGTTGTTTTGCGTTTGATTCCTATTTTACTTATTGCCACCACCACCGCTACCACTTAATTCCTTTCATTTTGTAAAATAAAATAATCTTATACGATTGTATGTTGTCATAGCATTAAAATAATAAATATATTATATATTTAATTATTAACCTAATCGGTCGGGCCTCATTCAGGTTGAGCTATAGTAGGCTCAAACTCGGCTCATAAATAAGTCGGGTTTAATAAAATGGCTCAAACTCGGTCCGGCTCACTAAAAAGTATGCACGACTCAAATATAATCGGGCCTAGCCATCGGGCTTCGGTTAGGCCCGGCTCAATTGCCGGTCCTATTTGTAAAAAGATGAAGAAGAAGAGAGAGTTGGGTTTGGGTTTGGGTGAGAAGAAGAGAGGGTTAGGGTTCGGGTTTGGGGTAGAAGAAGAGAGGTTTAGGGTTTGGGTTTGGGTTTGGGAGAGAAGAAGAGAGTTTTTTAAGTTTTGGTACTGAAATGAAGAAAAAAGAAATTTGTATTAATTGTATTTTGTTTGATAAGGGATATTCTATTAAAAATAAATATATGTGGTATTAATCTAAGAAAGCAATTTAAAAACTTCTCTACAATATGGTATTAAACTTGGTGGTATTGAAGTGAGAAAATCTTGATATTAGTTCTAGCCACCCCTTCGAAAATTCCAGTTCTCAATATATATTTTTACTTTCATTTAGAACAAACTGGAATACATATTAAATTTCAATTTCCACACCGATTTTAAGTTCCGAAAATATTTCGGATTATATTATAAAAATTATACTTACAATATCAATATGATTATGTACTTTAACTTTTAGGTGACTAAAATTTTTAGAAATTCCAAATCCCGTCACTTCCAATTCAAAATTTCCAATGTTGGAACAAGTTTGTTCAATCTAATTTCCGGAAAAAAAAAAGGATTTTTTCAAAAGTACTAATTTCGTTCTGATTTTTTCGATTAATAACCCTACTATATAGATATAGGGCCTTTTTGGTTGGGTAGTTTGGATAGATAGCTATAGAATATGGGATATGTAATACTGAAACTAAATTGTTGATTCGCAATAATTAATACCTCCTTTGGTTGGAGTTATAGGACTTAAACTAATAATCTATGCACTAACAATATCATGTTTATTTGCTTGATCAAACTGTTTTATGTGGGTTTATTGGCAAAATTATTGTGTTGCCCTTAAAAAATATTTGATGTTGATAAATATTGCAAACACAAAAGATAATAGACTTTGTTTGCAAATACAAAATTATAGCTACAATCACATTAAAAAAACTCCCACAAAAGGTTGTATACGATGGAGATACTAAAAATTCCCATACAAATTTAAATTTCATAGAAAGGGCATCTCTTAGATCTTCAAAAAATACAAACAAATAGATTGGATTTTCATATGTTCATTACCACATTTTCAAGAATAAAAAAAAATGGCTCCACTTGTAGTTGTGTAATCCTTTCCAAAGAAGGTACTTTTTCTATATCTAATCTTCTTCACTTCAATATTCATTTCTTCTGCCAATCAAAACCAACAACAGCCACAAAAAATTTAAGAATGTTGTTAGATTTAGTAGATGATGGTGAAAGTAATCAGCCAATCACTATCAAGAAAAAAACCCACTTCTTCTTTTTCAATAGCAAAAGAAGCTTTTCAACCAAGAACAAAACCAAACTCATTAAGCTCACTGCAACTCCATCAAAAAATCAAAAAAAGTTAATCAAAACCACCATTAATGGATCGATTCTGTCTCCTCCTCCGACCTAGTTTCAGAGACCTCCCGTTACAGGAAAATACTAGAAATTTAGAGAGTTTTATGGTGAAATTGAAGGGATTAAGCACCAAAACAAAGTAATGATTGAAAGATTGAAAAGAGCATGAACTTTTGGATTCTTACCTGTAAAAAACTAGGACTCAGATCTTTGAAGGAAAATGAAGATCTGAAGTATTTATATATGTTAATTTCGTAATTGTGGTATCATTGAAGGACATTTCCGATAATTCACCTGGGTTAAATGTTGGGATTGGGTTAAATGTTGGGATTGAAGATGTGATAAGTTGTCAAGCCAAAATTGGCTTGACTATTAATAATTCAATTGAGTGACTATATTGGTGGGACCACTTGTCAAGGATGGGTATTTCAACCAAACCAAACGTTGTACACGGGAGTACAATTCATCCCATTCCTGGATAATAATGCAAACCAAAGAGGCCATAGTGTATAGAGCAGATTTTATAGATTTTGGATAATAAATTTAGTACAATCTCGTGTTTAGAAATCCATGGTCTTGCAAATAGAATGGGCTCAATCATATGAGAGAGAGAGAGAGAGAGAGAGAGAGAGAGAGAGAGAGAGAGAGAGAGAGAGAGAGAGAGAGAGAGAGAGAGAGAGAGAGAGAGAGAGAGAGACAGAGAGAACATGACACGTATCCAGAGAAAGAAAGCTAAACAAACTGCTACCCAGCGGGACCTTGCACTAGTTGCTCCAACAATAGTAAATTATGCTACGAAAACAGATGTTTCCGAACATCTTCAGTCCTGAAATAACACGACTAGGACGAATATAGATTTAAAACATGAAGAACATATAATAACAACCTCTTTCCACTCATGACAGTATTAAAAGGATTAGGGTTTTAACAGTCGCTAATTTGCTAGCCTTGGTTTTTCTAAGTACTACATTTTCCAGAAACAATCGTAAACTTAATTAAGGGGAAAGAAATAATATAGTACCTTTCAGGAGAATGTTATCAGGGATGTTGATAAGTGGGTATAGGCACACCTGATTCCGCACTCAGTTTCGTGTAAGCATTTTGCAATCTTTGAGTGACGGGTCCCACTCTACCATCGCCAACCGTCCGCCCATCGATTTTAAGGACCTAATATGGTTAAGACCAATATATATCATTAACATCAATACTACCAACTCAAGCAAGTAACATTGGGCAATAATGATTTAATTTTAATGACTCACCGGACTCAGTTCTCCCATCGTGCCTGTAGTGAAAACCTGCATCAAGTAGATAATTCCATTTATTATGCATATTAGAAACGAGGATTAAGCACAAAGGTTTTTTTAGAGGAAAAAACGACTGGTAAACTATGTTCCGCATTTCTTAAAAGGGAGTGACGGAAAATAATGACTGATGAAAGTCATGCTTCACAACGAGGGGAAAGAAACGATTGTCCAAATCATGCATCATTCGACCTGAATCGTCGTAACTAGCGGTGTGTTATACAAGACTCTTATATTTTAGAAGTCGATCATTTTTTTAATAATTTCTTCCCCGGATTATTCTTTTTGAAGTTCTTAAAGCCGAGGGCTAATGGACATTCACTGTGGTTATGGGTATACCATTAGTGGATATTGCTGTATCGGGAATATTTTTTATCTTTTAAATTAATATATTGGAGAATATAACAAAATTGACCTCATCTGCAGTATGAAACTCTGATATACTGATACGCCGCTCCACTAAAACCAAGTTTTCCTTCACAGCAAGATCCATGACCTGCAAAATATGTATACAATTCTCTCGTAAAGCGTGTTAAACCAGCAAACGTTCTTCAGTAGTTTGTTAATAAACATCAATACATACATAATATATATATATATATATATATATATATATATATATATATATATATATATATATATATATATATATATATATATATATATATATATATAGATATATATATATATAGATATACATACAGATATCTCGCGATATGCCGGGGAGACTATAGACACCATGAGGAGTCGCTAAATGAGCCTTTCTTCACCAAAAACTGCAAATATCAGATGATTAATTTACCGTATGAATGAAATTCTGCGAAATCAACAAAAAGAATTGATAAAAAAATAATAAAGAAAATAGAAGAATAAAGAAAGTCAAATTTCAAATGAGATAGAAACTAACGGTTATTAACGTCGTATGTAAGTGTGGGAATGAAACAAGGAACCACAGCAAAATAATTCATTAATAAGACTCGTTTCGTTGGCACTTCAAGCAATGACCAAAGGCGAAAATAAGTATGCTATTTGCGAGTAATGATTTATTTTATTCAACATTTCATTGAGGCCTAGTAAATGATCTTACTATGTTTGTCGCGTTTGTTTCCGATACATAGCCATCTTTGTCAAGCATGATGGCGTCATCAGCATGTGAATTATTCCCTTCTATCTGTACTTACACGAAAACGGCCAAGTCAAAATACTGATCGTAAATTTTTGAAGTAGGATAATACAACTTGATCGAGATCTTACCTTGGCAAGAATATTGTTGAGAAGGTTGTTGTGGTGAATTTTCGAATCCAAATTCTGTAAAATAGACCAACCGTTACTCATCTTATTGAAATTGAATGCAATTGTTTGCCTGACAAAAACTTAATATTTATAATCATATCAATGTCTTAAGTTTTGAGCATGGAAAAACACAAAGCGAACATGAAAGATTTAATCAACACATCAAAACATATATATCTATATGCACACACACACACATACATATATATATATATATATATATATATATACACACACGCATACATATATATGTAGCGCGGGGGCTTACATTGGGTGAATTACGGCGTGTGCTAGCTGTCACCAAAGTAATACCCCTTGCATTGTCGTATACCGGTGGCTTCCATTCAGCAAGCACTACACAAGTACAAGATGGAAACTATAATCAACATACCCCTGATTTTGGTGTTTCATATAAACCAAAGCCATAGTGTAGCATGCTCGTATTTTTTGCTCTATGTATTGACACCAGACCGATATCCAGAAAGCTACGAGCAGCAATGCTCGTATTTTTACACAATCCTACAGCATATTTATAATGTCTTCATTTACGAATTGGATTTACCTATTAAAGTACATCCATAGTGGTTGAACGCCGGGCTCATTCCAGAAGTCACCTGCAAAACAGACAATTCAACGAACAACGTTTATTCGAACATTTCCTTTTGTGCATATGAAGATTGAAACATAAATATCAATTATTCAAATTCAAAAGCTCAACAATTCAAAACGGAACGAACCAAAGTAAGTGGAGAGCTGTAGGTACGTACCTTCTTTCCGCGAGTCAGTGTCAGCCTTATATGTGCGTTATCAAACATTCCGTTTCTTATCAGTGTTTTGAAAATCGCTTCCTTCACCTGCATAATATTGTACACAGAATCAGGATCGATGAGTAATTTCAAAGACTACATTCTATCGAGAGGTTAAAGGCTGAAGAAAATAATCATTATATATAACAAAGCCAAGCTGTAGATATGTGATGCATTTGGTAACAGATCACCTGTTCACGAGGTGGTACATTGCTGAAGGCCAAAGCTTTTGCGGAGTCAAACAACCTGGAAATTAAACACAACCCATGTTAGAAGGGTAAAATGCATAACCCCATTTGCTGACACTGACACATCGTTTTTTAATCATAGTACTTGTTGTCTAAAAACTTACCAACAGTTGAATCACATGGGAAACTTATTAGCTGTAGATCTTATTACGAAAAACAACAAATAAAGGATAAAGTTTCTTCGTCTACCTGTCTAAATGCTCCTCCAGTTTAAATATCTTCCCGCTATAAACTCGAAGACCCTCCCAAACTCCATCACCACCTTGGACAATTGAGTCAAACACCGAAACCTAAAGCATTCCATAATTAAAAATAAAGTATGAAGTTAATGAGGGTAAATGGAAGTATGAAATAGTGGGCCTGTTGCCATTATATATATCTCTGATTTTAAATTATCTTAAATTAACAGAAATGTTACCTTCGCACTTTCACGAGGCAAAATTTGATCACCAACCCAAGCAAGCAACTTCTCGTTGGCGGGAATTGGGAGATCTGGATGGAGGGGTACTTTAGTAATATGTCTGATATAGCGAAGAAGCAAGTTGTAGAAAGGTATGCTTTGCTCCAGCAAGTTGTACAAGGACGACGGAAATGGCTGAAAATTGAAACGAAGGTGCAGAAGCATGTTAAGCATGTCTGATAAATACATTTCATCAAAAAATAATGTAAGGTCGACTTTGACTGATGTGATATTGCAACATATGCAAGTTCCAACAGAAGAATGTGTAGAGACATCTTCACGCAATTCTAGACAGTAGATCATAATCCAATGCAACTTTACTTACTGAAGGGTACTTTCTTGGTGGATCGAAGCCTGTCGATTTGTGCGTACTTTTATACCAATAGGGTGCCCACAAGCCGTCAAATGGTCTTGGCCCAGCTTCCCATCTGAAAAAGGAAGATGTTTTATGAAGGTTGAGTACTTGAATTACGATAAATTACATTCTTGAATAGTTTTTGACTTACTTGAGCATTGCAGCTTGAAATGGAATTCCAAGATCATCACACAGACCACGCAAAGTAGCCTACAAGGGGAAGACACAAGACAAATTTATCACTAATAGCATAAACACGACTCTGATCTAACATCCTTTAAATACATGTTTTACGAGATTAATTATCTAGCTATCCAGATTTGGTCCTTGCATATACACAGATGTGAGAGTTAAATAATTATCACCAAATAAGCAGACAACAATACACGACTACCAGGTCAGTGAATTAGGGAGGAATCATAGAATTCAAGCTTATTGATATTTCATTCTATATCGAAATGAAAAATATTTTGATTTTGGAAATAATGTCCGAACCTCGGGATCTTGTCGCAGAAAGTCTGAATCAATGACAGGAGGGGGTTTTCCTTCTTGACACAGCTCGCTGTAAATGGAGACCATGCTAGCATACCCCAGATCAATAAATGATGGTGGAACAACCTTGTCATAGGATGTCTGAAATGTAAAATCAGTGGAACGGGAGATAAATTGAAGTGCGTAAAAAGTGTAAGAGTGTATAGAAATATATATATACATGTGTGTGTATGTACATACGTATATGTCTATACAGATGTAACGAGTTAATTTACCAACACGTCGAGGGGATTCCTTATCAATATGCAATGCTTTCCTTTCTTCATTAACTCGTCTGTTAGACCAGGCAGACGTTGACTAGCAATATGCTGCAGATGTTTAAAAGAAGAAAGAAAGCTTTTAATGGAATTTGTGATTTTAGTTGAGATCACAAGCTTTTAATCGCCTGGATTAAAGCTCGGATGTTTCCTTCCTAAAAAGTAACGTATTCGAATTAGATGATGGTATACTTGAGGGATGACGACTTACCTTACAGAATCTATACTTCTTTTTTCCAGGGCCGAAAATGATCTCTCGGACGACTTTATTTCCATCTGATTCCTATTCATACCAGGAAGTAATATTACATAGGTTAAATGGTACACACAATGTGCTTTTTTGGAAATAAAAGAACGAACAAGACATTTACCAAAAACCATAAATGCAATAGCAACAAAATCCCCTGGCAGAATTACATTACACCAAAATAAAATTACGGGAAAATAAAAGTCAAAATATGATTACGGGAAAATTGATTCTACAAATTTTAGTTGCTTATTTGGATTCAGCACCGAGAATAACATTGAAAAAATCATTAGAAGAAAAATTATATTTGGGCAGCCAAAGTAGCTACTCACTTACAGATGTCAAAAGACTGAGAATACCATGACACTAGAACATGAGTTAATAGAGAGTGAAAATATAGGTCCTATGAGAATACAGTAGAGGTCTCGTTTGGTTGCCAAGATAAGATTAAATAATCTAATGAAAACCCAATTATTTCATCGGACCCCGTGACGTCCAACTAAAAAGCTCCCTCAAAAGCAAGATAAGGCAAAATAAGCCATGATAACATAATATTTGCGGGCAAGTTATTGGGGATACCATACATCAAACAGAGTCCAATTACTTAGTTAATCATGGCTAATCTCCCCAAGCAAACGAGGCCTAAGTATGGTTTTATGAAATTCTGTTAAAAACTCAAGCGCTAAAAATAATGGAAGCAAACAAGGTTAATCTACTTGTGCAGATTGTTTATTCAACCTACCGTTTTCGACAGGAGTTCTTCTTTGTAAGGCCTTTCAGCTCCCGTCACACGCAAAAAGTTCGGATACAGCGGTTCGTCGAGCACTTCCATATCATCTCTCTGGCAAAATGAAAGATCATAAGTTTCTCATTCATAAGCTAAATTTAACATTCATGCTCATATTAATTTACGAATAATCGAGCAATCTAAAAACAAAAAAAAAAAACTAGAACAAATCATAATATCTTTACCTGAGAAAATGAATACATGAGGCTTGTACTTACAGACCTCGGCGAAGACCACAAGTGTATCACCTCCACTTCTCTCTCCTCCCCCATTTTCAACTCTTACCTTAAAAATAATAAATAAAACCCTGAATTTCCCAAATTAAATCCGATCGTCAGAATACGTGATGAAGATGGGTATAAATAATTAAAAAAAAAAAAATCAATCGAGATGTGAATTACGAAAGTCTACTCCCAACGTAAATTATACAACTGGCAATTTAGTAATTTAATAAAAAAGCTGGTGCTAACTTCTAATTTCAGAAAATTGTTGCCGCCATTGTCACTCTCGCCCCACCTTCTTCGGATAGGAATCGAATATTTCCACAAAGAGATGGTTTTTATTTCATTACGGTGGGTGTTGTGATTCAGTGGCAAGCGGTAATTTTCGACATTTTCCGCCGATTTCGCACCAACACGGTTGGTGATTGGGACAAAATTCGGAGGTGGAATTCTTCGGATTTTGTACGAAGAACACGTGAGCAGTGTCAATTTTTGATAATACTTCCATGAAAATATGACGTCAGGTTTTTTGTGGGTTTAGTTTGGATAATTGCACCAGAAATATAAAGTAGGGAAGAAAGAGTCGTACTGTGTTGGAAATGGGAAAGTTGTGCTAAACTAAAACTGCTTTTCGGACCACACTACTTTTAGCGGTGAGAAAAAAATCGAAAATTAAAATCAGCTCAAACTCGAATTTACACTTATTTCAAACCCCTTAAATCATAATTTAACATCATTTTTATCAACCAACTAGTATTCTAAAAGAAGTAAAATTAGAAATCAGTATACATATATGACATGTATAATAGTAAAACAATGGAACATCGAAAATGTAAAAATTTCACAAATTGGAATCATAATCTATATATCTATTTTAACAATAAAATTTAATACACATACGTGTGCTATAAAAAATGAGAGAAAAGTTAGTGCTGGAAAGGAAATAATAATAATAATAATAATAATAATAATAATAATAATAATAATAATAATAATAATAATAATAATAATAATAATAATAATAATAATAATAATAATAATAATAATAATAATAATAATAATTAAAAAGAAAAAATAACCATGAGAAAAAAATTCAAATTTGATCGTATTTAGTGGGAAGGGAAAAAATAAAAAGAAAAATAAAATAATTAAAAAAACGTATCCTATAAGAGAGAAAAAAAGAAGAAGAAAAAAGAGAAAAAAAGATATTTAAAAATAAAAAATGTGAAAAAAAATTGACCGTGTTTAGTAGGGAAGGAGGAAAAACAAGAAAAGAAGAAAAATAAAACAATTAAAAAACCGAAACGTATTCTGTAAAAAAGCGAAGAAAAAACAAATAATTTTATTTGTACTATAAAAGAAAAAAAAAAGAGAGAGAGAGAGAGAGAGAGAAAATAAAGGAAGCTAATATTTCACACAAATATTTAAAAAAAAAACTGTTTTTATAGTTTCGGGGTAAATCTTTATTTTATATATAAAGATTAAGGGATTTTTAGCTCGCAAAACTATTTTGGCTAGTTAGTAGTTTCATATACGAGTCATTCCCAGGCTCTCAGTATCATACATTGAACATTGCATTCTCCCTTTTAAGTTTTTTTTATAGTTAACTCGAAACATGCCATTTAAAGTTTGGAATATCCTCTTTATATAGAATTATAATTACACTTCAGTTTCATTTTAAAAAATGCTACTAGTTATAAAAATGTGTTCTAGTTAAACAAGTTACAATACTTATTTATTTTTTTATTTCCCTCAAAACGCTTTTCAAATATTTATTTTCGATTTTTCTTTATGAGTAGGGGACAGAGGTGTGGATCAGAAGAGCTATCGGAATTGTCGCAATAGTAGGCAACAACAACATTGGTAGCATCAACAATTTCAACATCTTTATTCTCCATTTCGAAAAGTTGAGGCAAGAACTTTGTTCTTTCTCCTTAAGACTAAATTGTCCCACACAGTCTCCTAAGGGCCCTTTTGGTTGGTGTGATGGGTGATTGACAAATTAGTCACCCCTAATGAACGTTTGGTACAATGGACATAAACTTGGTATTGACTATAAGATCGGTATCCAATCACCCAAATGAGTGATAGCTTATCCCACTATAATAGGTGTGATAATCTAATCACAAATTTATCAATTTTAGGAAAATACCAAATACCCCTCATCTTTCACAAGAATTGCAAGAAAAAGTAAGTATTTAAGCAAAAATACCAAATATCAGACAATGAAAAAGGGGATTGAAACACTAGCAGCAACTTCACCTGCTTCCTACCTCTCTGTACAAGAAAATTCTCGAAATTCAATTTGGCATACACAACGTCTTCAATCTTTGTGGGTTTTGTCATCACGCAGTAGAAACTACGAGGGGTGGCTTTGGGTATACGGGATTTTCGTCCGCCGGTCCACACGTACATCAATACAAAGCTCGCTTGGGTTTGTGTTTTCCATCGACATTCTCGTATCCACTCCTTAAATCTTACCAGGTTAATCTCTTCTTTACCAATTAATGTTTTCCCCTGTGTGGGTAGAGTTACATTGTTGGCATCCTTGGTGTTGGAGCCTTAAATGTTTATTTTCGATTTTGTAACTGCAAATTTTATACAGCAATTTAGTTGTGTATTACAATAGTTGTTTCTTCCTGGTTTGCAAATGGAAAATGGATGAACATGATTTATGTGGTACGGTGGTTATATTTTTTATTGTTATGTAATGGAAGCAAACCTGGAGTTGTTTGCATAAAGGAAAATGGTTAGTAATTTTGCTAAAGTTCAATAACGTGTGCTTTATTTTGTTAATTAGCGATTAATTTCTTAATCTGATTTTTGTGTTTATTATAGGATGAGTATGTGAATAAATATAATTTCATCTCTATTTATGTCAACAAACCGTAGGTTGATTTATTTGTTATAACATGATGTATGTTTGTTGTAATATTGGCTCCCATTTAATTGTAGTTTGTGATTTACGACATGTCGTATGAAGATGAAGAGATTGCTGTTGTGCTAACTGAAATTTTGTTTGACATCAAAATATTTCTAATTATGTTCATAAAAATTTACGCTTCAATTAGACGTCGTCGGTTGGGATATACCACAAACGGCCCCACTAGGTACAGTTTGAAATCAAAATAAAGTCAAAACCCAACTTCAAAATCTGAGGTTTTTAATAAGTATGCAAGACAACACCTGTAGAAATAATCTACGCATGAATATGGATACTTTTGGCCGTTTGTGCTATTTGCTAGAGAATATGGGTGGGTTGTTACCAACGAGGAATGTTGTTGTCAAAGAACAAGTAGAAATTTTTTTGTTTATCTTGGCCCATCACGAGAAAAACGTTGTTTGTCAAACTACTTTTCTACGGTCCGGTTACACTATAAGTAAATACTTTAACCGAGTTCTTAAAGCGTTATTGAAATTACACTCCTTACTTCTCGTCAACCTGCAGCCCGTTGATGGAGATTGTGAGGACGAGATATTTTTCTACTTTAAGGTAAATTTTAAAAGTACATTTTTCCATACATAAAGTAATATTATCTCACATTCAATAATTAATAAATCTACCATTCAACCCCTATTTCATTTTCACATTCATTGAATAGGGTACGGTGCCTTAGGTACTTTAGACGGAACGTACGTAGCTTCTAGAGTTGCAAAGGCTGACAAACCTCGTTATAGAAATAGAAAGGGAGATGTTTTAATCAATGTCCTCGTTGTTTGCGATACGAACATTAATTTTATTTTCCTCTTAACGGATTGGGAAGGATCTGCCGCCGACAGTCGGATTCTTCGCGACGCGGTTACGAGGCAAAACGGTTTAAAAGTGCTTATCGGTATGACTATATTACATTCCCTAATTGCGTATAATATGTTCCTCATTAATTGTCATTCTTAACTAATCATTAACAACCATCTTATATACCACCGTGCCAGGGAAATACTACTTGGTCGATTGTGGGTATACCAATGAGGATGGGTTTTTGGCCCCGTATAGGGGTCTTAGATACCATCTCCAAGAATTTGGAACTTCAGCCAATGTCCTCAAAATCACAAAGATTTTTTTAATTTAAAACATGCAAAAGCTCGTAATATCATCGAGCGGTCATTTGGGCTACTATAATCAAAATGGGGCGTACTTAGGAGTGCGGCGTATTATCCAATCAAACAAAAAAACCGTATTATAATGGCTTGTTGTCTTCTTCACAACTTTATACGTACTAATAACGATTGCGATCCCGAGGAAGATAGAGTTGTTTTGCAAACTAGAAATAACCACGAGTATCAAGAAGATCAAGTGATTGAGAATGGGAGGCCTCGGAACATTGGACTGATTGGAGAGATACTTTGGTGTTGAACATGTATCATCATTGGTTGGCATCTCGATGAGTGTATAACATAGAATTGTTTTTCAATTTTATGATATAATTGTGTGAATTTTTTAGACTCCTTTAATTTTTAGTAGCTAATGAATGTACTGTATGTTATATATCAAAATGTGTTATTATTATGACTTGAGTCTTAAATGTCAATAAATAATAATTTTCATACACAATATTTATTACAGGCCATCAATATGAATGGAATTACATTTTCACAGAAATCCCAAAACACAAAGGATCGTACCACAAACACACGCCGCACTTGGACCTTTCCGGAAAAACAGTGTTTACTTCTTGCATTAAAAGAGATAGTCACTAGCGGTTGGAAATGCGACAACGGATTCAAAACGGGATATCCTGGGGTCCTCGAACTCCACATGAGTCAAACATTCCCCGGGATCGATCTCAAGGTGGTTCCGCACATTAATAGCAAAATTCATGTGTGGAAAAAATTGTACGGCTCATTAAGCACAATGATGTCGCGTTCGGGTTTGGATGGAATGATGCTACCAACACGATCGATGTTGCCGATGATCAAGTTTGGAACGAATATGTTAAGTTAAAATATAAATGTTTAATTATGTTAGTCGTAATTTAAAACAATACTTGAAATAATTTAGGGAAACACCATACTAAAGAAAATATTTATTTTTCATCTATTTTCATGACGGTTCAATTTTAGTCGGATGCCCAAGCACGTACAATGTGTTACAAATCTTTGCCATACTATAAGGATTGGCTCATCATATTTGGCAAATACCGTGCCACGGGAGAAACTACGGAGGTGTTCGCGGATGTAGTGAACGACTTATTGACTAATGACAACGATAACGCTCATCTTTCCATCGGTGGTGAATATGTGACGGATGTTAACTACAATGATAACAACGATGATGCCTCCGACAACACGTCATCTTGGCATGCGGGGTCTATTATATATATACATACGTGTGTATTAATGTCTGCTTCTGTAACATATATCTGTGTGTTTTAATGCAACCTCTGTAAAACAATGTGTGTGTATTAATGACTCTGTAAAATATATATGTGTGTATTAATGCCTTGTTTAAAATATATGTGTGTGTATTAAGAACGGCTCTGTAAAATACATGTGAGTGTATTAATGGCTCTATAAAATATAGGTGTGTATATTAATGCCTCTGTAAATATATGTGTGTGTATTATTGCTTCTGTAAAATATATGTGTGTGTGCATCAGCCTATAAATTAGTCATTACAATAAATTAACAACATTCATTACTAGCTCAAAAAACCCAAAAATATTGACTCCTACCATAAATAATTAAATTCACACTTCAAAACATTTAACTCAATCCAACTACTTTGCATCTTTTTTTACTATAAAAGAGGTCATGTATACAAAGAATTTCTCACAAATTACACGTTTAAAGCCAAAATAACAAGAAAAAACACAAAATATATAAGGCAATCTGTTGGAAATTGAAGAGGTTACTCATCTTTTATTAAATTTACCACGGTTTACTTGTTTTGGTAATATTGTTGTTTTATTTTGCAGGTGTTACATTAAAAATGCCTATGACGAGGACTCAATTTCTCAACTCTATTTTGAACAAGGAGGATTGGCCGACCGAGTATGATGACTTCCTCATGGGGGAACTCGATCAGCTATGCACACCCTTTGCATCCTTGGCCGACGGGGAAGTTTTCGATACCATTGTGGTAGAGACGGCACGGATATTCGATCAATGCTACGAGTTGGACACTCTGTTATTGACGACAAAAAATCGATACCAAATTATACGCAACCAATTTGTTGATTTTCTCAAATACATCAACAAACCGGGGGTAAATTACAACATAGCAAGGAACCGGATCACGGTTGACCCCACTCGCATCCATTCCCCACGTCGAGTATGCATGTTACTAACGAAGCACAAATCTTTTAAATTTTTTCAACTCTATACTTTGTATTTTAATACTAAACATCGGATCTTCATATGTTTCTCAAGGAGACTACGATAGAGAGGGGTTTTAAGAGATTCGGGTTTCCTTACTACGACATATGTGGGAAGATATTTGAGGAGAAGCGGGCATCACCAATCAATTTCGGGGAAGTTTCCGGATTTACCCCACACCTACCAATGGAACTAGATAACGACGAGGACGGAATGAACGAGGAATCGGAACAAGTTCCAAACTTCATTCTAGTACCCGATCGGAATGAGGATGACATGTATGAGCCTCCCGAATTTAATGAGGAACCCCTACCATTGGACATTATGTACCCCGACGGATATCGTCATAATATGTACTGGCATGCTTTGGACGACGACAATGACAATGGATTGAACGGCGAAAAATAGGGAATAATAGATCCTTAAATTCCTATATTCACTATTTATATGAATGGAGTGCCCCCTTTATTTTCCCCCCTAATTGGCACATGTGCGATGTAATTCATCGAGTTTTCCCTATGTCTAGTGTCAACGGATGGTAGACCTTTACTAATTGTATTGTCGTTATGTAATGGTAGTATGGTACTCCACTATTTTCCTACGGATTTCTCAACTACTCTTAGCAAATTATCATATAATGTGCACTATATAAACACAATATTTAACAACTTAAAAAAATATGGTCATTCAAAACACGAAACTAAATTTACTTTTGTTCAATAGATCAATACAGCTTCAAGTTCTACTAAAAAAAAAAAAACCACATAGGCTACTGTATGCATATAGGTAGTTCTTAGCATACATGTATTTCTTACATAAAGTAATCAATAATTCCCAAGAAACAAACAAATCATACAATGGCAATTGAACCATATAGGGGATCAAGCAACATAACCAAAACACATGATAGACATACAAAGCAAGCTAATTTGTATTTTATCCTATTTTTCTTATCCTTAATGGCTTGAAGTTGTAATTCTAAAAGGTTAATTTGTCTTAACAAACCTGGAATTATCTTCTTACTTCGGTCGCATATTTCCGGATCACACCACTCATAGAACTTGCATCGATTACTCTAAAAAGACCAATAAAAAAAGGCCAGAATATTTTTTATTAATAAAACCCTAAAAAATTCAAGAAAATTGCAAAAACATTCTGTAAAAAAATTTGTTTTGGGCAGGTGACCAAATCAAATACAGTTTTGATTTCCATCTCGTTTCATGACCAAATCAAATACAATTTTGCAAAAAACAATGGAACTTACATCTCGTTTTGGGCAGGTGACCGTACAGCGCCCCGGGTTTAACGAAGTCCAAGATGTTTGCACAAATGTCTGTAGCCCGCAACGACAAATGGGTGGATGGCTTCGATTTCCATCCTCGGACTCATACCCGTCTGCACGAAAACGCCTACTATTGCTCATTGTGCTAGGACCGACTCTGTTTTCGAATGGGTTTTGATGATGTCAATTCGAATTTGTATTTGTGCAGAGCATGTTGCAGAGGATAGGGGTTTTTGCCGATAGAGATGCTGATTTGGTAAAGTTGGATTTTTTTTAATGCTTGTTTTGAGAATTGGAATTATTCAGGTCTTTACACCGTGAATATCTTTGGTCAAGGAAAGAAATATTGACTAAGGACTTAAATGTAAATACATGTGAAATCAATAACAATCATTCAAACCAAATGAAAAAATTAGACTATCAAGTATTAATAATCCTACAAACCAAAAGAGTATTTTTGATACTAAATAGTAGTGAACAGTGCAATAATCTATAATCAATATTGATTTTACAATCCCATCACACCAACCAAAAGGGCCCTAAGATACAACGACTTGCAGTTCCAACAGAGTAGCACAACAATTGTTGTAACACAGCGAACGAAAAGACATTTTGAACTTTATGACACGAATGAAAGATGATGCAAGAATGTGCTTATGACTGCATGGACGAATTGAGTGAGTTTGCTGGAAAATTAAGGCCATATTTATAGTTTTCAAAAGTTGTATTCCAATGTCACAACACTTGGAAAAAGAAGGGCGGAAAAGGTGTCATGCCTTTTCGCAGGGATTAAACACCAATTAGTGTTTAAATTGCCACCTACTTGGCGCACTGACCGAGAGACAAATCCGCCTAAGTGCGATGATGTCATCTTTGTACAAATATCGCGCTCGAATTGGCTAGAATAAATAAATTCGATTTTAATTAATTAAACCCTAAAACTTATTTAAATTTGGTCCAAAGCATGCCCAACTCCAAACCAAACAATTTCAAAGCTCTACGATCCACGGGCTCGGTCCGGGCAGCATCAGCGGCATGCACGTGTGGCTTCACACTGAAACCACACTTGATTATACCTCTATCTAAAGTGTTCACATTAATGTTCTTTTTTCGATGTGGAGTAGATGACTTTCCACCTCCCACCAAGTCATTTGTGCTCATTTTAGCTTTTTGAAGTAGTTAACTTTGTGCATTAGTTGTTCATTCATCCCATTATGAATTTGAGTAATTAAGTACACTACGATTATCTAACCGAAGTGCAGATTATATTTCCATCATTCATTACTCGATTTAAATATGGAATCATAAAAAAATTCAGCATAAATTAATGGCCGAAAGATATAAGCCAATTGTGAGGAGATAAAAGAGGATCGGGAAGAAAACGAGGAGAAAGAGGAGGATAACAACAAAGAAGATGAGAAAGAGGAGGAAATAGGACAAGGGGAAAATGAGGAGGATCATGAAGAAGAACAGGAGGTGGAGGAGATGACTCATGTTTATATTTATGCAATTTATGTTATTTGTAAATGTTTCATAACTATTAATTATATATTTTGTATTTTATATATAGATGAAGAAATAATATAATTCAACTCCCAACGTCATTAAATATATACATGATTAAGTGATATAACATAATTGAAAAATTAAACTTATTAAGAATTAATTATACAATTTTGCTTATTAAATATATAATTTTTCATAATTCCATTTTGTAGAACCTTATGTTAACAATGAATATATTATTATAGGCGGCGGTTATATGCAAGCCCATTTTTTATTAGTTCAAAACCACATAAAGAAGTTTATTAGTTCAAGTCCGTAAACTAATCTAATTTTATTACATCAAGACTAAAGATGACAAATATACCCTTATCCACAAATAATACTAAAGACCAAAAATAAAAAAAAAATAAAAAAATATCACGACTGCCAACCAGTGAGACTTTCACCGCACTGGCGATGACCAGCGACCCACCCACCGCATCATTACCATCACCAACAAGTAAGTCCATTTTACTAAACTTTTGTTTGTAAATTCGAAAACATTAATCGAACATCGATGTCCTTTTTACTAAATTTTTATTTGTAAATTCGAAAACATTAATCGAACATCGATTCTTGATAAATATGTATGAATGAACATTAATCTATGCTTATTTCTTGTTGGGTTGCAATGATTTGGCCGATTTTGGAGAAAAAAAAATTGATATTGAAATTGGTTTTTTTATTTTTTTCGTTGGTTTCCAAATTCGGTTTATCCAGGCCGATTTTGTACACGAAAATCGGCGTCATTATACCGATTTTTGTTAACCAAATCGGCGACACAACGTCGACTTTACAAGTCAAAATCGGCGTTCTAATGTCGATTATTGAGTACAAAATCGGTTTTCGAATACCGATATTTTTTGAATTTTTTTTTAAATAATATATTATATATTTGGTTAATTGATATTTTTTAAATATTTGAAACGAAAATGTTTATCACCATTCGGTGGCGTCTACCATGCCTTTAACCCAATCGAGTAGAGCTTTCCGTATCTCAAATATTTATTCGTTAGATAATTCATTTGAATAATCCTCCATCAATCCCCTAGGTTGATGCACGAAAGTATGAGAAAACGGTCTTAAAAAAACACAGATAATAAAATCGGTATCTAAAAACCGATTTTTGTAGTACAAGTCGGCATGACAATACCGATAATACAAAAACAAATCGGTGTTGTCATGCCGATTTTTACTACAAAAATCGGTTTTTAAGTACTGATTTTTATTAAAATAATCGGAATGTGGTTACCGACTTTAGTAACAAAAATCGGTATTTGCAGACCGATTTTTAGTATCGTCGAATTTTTTTCCCAAAAAAAAAACGACCCAAAAGCAAAAATAAAGGGTTAAAACATATTTCTTTGTGTTCTCCACCCTCGTAAACCACCATATCATTGTTTTCTGGTTCCATTGTGAATGTTTGGTATGTATTTGATAATTTTGGTGTGTAGGATTTCTTTGTGGGTTTGTGAAGAAGAAGGAGAAGAATGAGAGTTTGAAGTCGTGAAATAAGGAAGAGGGGTTTCTGGATTTATGTATTTTATTTGGTCTTGCACAAAGGAAATTTTTTTTTTTTTTTTAATGTTTTGTGTTTTTTATTTGATTTTTAATTTGGAGCATGAGATAAGTGAGAACTATGATTAGATGTGAGTTATATACTTAGATAATAAAAGTGGGAATATGGATGGCAATGGGTACGGGTATGCTGGATCTTAGACCCGGAACCAACTCCTTTGGGGCGGGTCTGAATAAGCTAAATAGTTTTGGGGCGGATAATGAGTTTTAGTTTCTAAAATCGGATGGTTTTGGGTCGGATTACGGGTCTTATGGGAACCGATCCAAAACCGACCCGTATAAATATATATATTTTATATTTAATCTATATATATATAAATTAATTTATGATTTCATATATCAAACTTTCAATTTTCATCGTTTCTATTCTCATTTACCCATTTTTCACCATTTCATTTTTTGAATCTTATTTCTCGTAAGTAAAATCTATCACTTGTCGACCACCGCTAACCGTCTTGCCTTTTGAACTTTACTTATTATAGAAGTTAAATATAATTAAATATATAATTTTATTATTCAAATTATATCGCTTGTAAAAGTATTTTAAAATATTATAATTTAATTTTTAGATTATTTTGTTAAAATATAGAAGGAAAATATCATGAAAGTTAAAAAATAAAATAAAAAAAATTATGTTAACGGGTCTAGCAGGTCTGGCGGGTCGGAACCGTTTAATTTGGATACGGGTTGGGGCGGGTCTGGGTCTAAGCTGAACCAGGTTACGGCAGGTCCTGGTTTTATATATTTTTCACGGCTCGGGTCTCGGGTTTAGACAAATCCGACCCATAACCAACCCGTTGCCATCCCTAAGTGAAAATGTGGTATACGGAACGTACTGCTTGAGGAGAGATTATAGAGCATCCATCGTAGATACTATTAGGGGTGACAATCGAGGTATGTGAGTCGAGCTTTGATTTATATACCCAAACTCGAAACTTAAATTCACATCATCAAACTTTATAGTTATATGTCCGAACTTGACTTTTATGTTATCTCGAGTTTCAGGTTTATGTCGGGCTTATGAAACTAACATATATGATAGTTTATCATTGTAGACAGAGTTACACACATTGCATAAAGAATGGACTAATTTTACTTAATACACAATATACATATTAATTTCATGTAAAATAATTAAATTTTCAAATATTTGTAAGATAGCATAAACTATTTTTTTTATCAAGAAATGCTATATGATTATTTTAAAGAAAAAAATTGAATGCCTTTGCAAATAGAGAATTGATTCGAATCAATGTTAAAAATAATTGAATTATTTAAAGTACTTATAATATAAGTTTCATAAGAATTTCAATTGAGGAGTGATTGCGTGTCATTTCAAATCCTCATTCAATATGTTATGCTTATAACTCTTCTCAAGTAGTACTATTTGTTTTAAAATAACTAGCATTTTTTCCCAGTGCGATGCACGGGATATTATTTCAAAAGTGAAAAAAAATCAATTTAATACATAATAAGAAAATATAGTACATTAACATAGTAAAATTTAATAATGTAATATTACTCATATTTTATATAACATCAGTTTTTTTTTAAATTTTACATATTAAAATTTATAATCCAAATATATATGGTAAGATTTAACAAACTGAATTTTTATCTTTATATATTAAGATTTGAGATATATTGATGAAAAATAGGAGATTGATAATTGTTGAAAATTAGTGCATAAAAATATTAAAAATAAATAATTACAGAAATACCATTAGGGTTTTTTAGGGTTGCCCAACGTTTCTTTCTTTTATATATAAGATTTATAATCCAAATATATAGGTTAAGATTTAACAAACTGAATTTTTTTCTTTATATATTAAGATTTGAGATATATTGATGAAAAATAGGAGATTGATAATTGTTGAAAATTAGTGCAGAAAAAATATTAAAAATAAATAATTACAGAAATACCATTAGGATTTCTTAGGGTTGCCCAGCGTTTCTTTCTTTTATATATAAGATACTAATAAATATGTCAAATAATAAATTAATAAATATTTAAACTATTTATTTAATCGATTTCAATTTGGGCGGAGCCCGGAGCCATATCGAGTTTAAATCCAACTATTCTCACCATTAATTAGATGTGACTAAAATAAAATCAGATCGACTAAATATTTATTTAATCCGGTTTGGTTTGGGTTGAGTCGCAACGAGCTGAAATTCAACTATTTCCAAAAATTAACTATGTGTGAAGTAGAATAAAATCAGATCCAATAAATATTTAAATTATTTACTTAATCGGATTTGATTTCGGTTGAGTCGTAGTGAACTGAAATTCAACAATTTCCGGTAATTAACTAGGTGTGAGTAGAATAAAATCATATCGACTAAATATTTAAATTATTTACTTAATCGGGTTTGATTTGGGTTGAGCCGCAGTGAGCTAAAATTAAACCATTTCCAATAATTTACGGTAATTTCGAGTGCACTAAATTGACATTCCTAAATGGCATCACCACGTTAGTAGAGAGAGTAGAGAGCATATTTCTTTTGGAATATGTCATTGTCTAGAAAAGCGTGCCTATCTACTTAAAACTTGTGCCTTTGGAAAAAAAAGTGTTTTAAGTGAATAGCGCTTTTGTTATCCAATGAAAAAAGAAAAGCAGGATCAGCTGCTCACGGGCCACACCAATTGCAGGGGCTGTATTTATATATATATATCGCGAATATAGAGCTACATCTTTGCAGATCTGGCAGCACGACACGTGGACCAATAGGAGAGCATTTTTAGATGGGGAACGATAGACCACGAATTTTGCCAGTGCTGGGCCCCACTCGTTCTTCATCCTCAGCCACAAAACAGATACGCGCATAATATTTTGTTGGCTTCCCAAATTGCCCTCCGAACTGCTCTTAGCTTTATCCATTTGGGGCTCAGTTAAAATTTTTGCTATCACACGTTATTAAGTCGTTGTCATGTCATGTCTGCCCACATTTTAGAATATTCATTATTCAATTTACCATATGTTTTGAAATTAAATAAATAAAACTATTATAAAGTATTTATTACTGTTGTCAATAAATATTATCTTACACCCGGTTATTTATTTTTGCTAATGCAAAAATACGTTTAAAACTTTTCATAGAAAGATTATTTATTGCACCTAAATAGTGTTCGAGGCAAGATCTAGACCGAAAGAATATTAAATCACTGGCTGTTCACCAAACTCCATTGTTGGAGAAACTCCGATGTTACTTATGTTAACTTTTGGAAAATTGTTTGGCTAAATATACGGTAAAAATCTTCTAAGGAACTCGAGAAAATTGTTTATTGAAAAAAAAAATCTAGTATATATTTATTTTTTCAAAAACCGTGGACGCCATAATCCCCATGTACCCTTACATGCTTTCAACTGGATATTCTAGTTGATATCGTTAATATTTCTTTCCGTACAATGCACGAATGACATTTTGAAAGTGAGGAAAATAATAATGTAAAAATACGACATTGAAAGTCGGTATATACGGAGAAAATGTTAAGAGAAAAATCATCTATAATTAAAAGAGAGAATTTTTTTTTCTAAAAACGCCGCTAAAAAAAGAAATTACAATGATGTCATTTGAAAAAAACAGAAACAAAGATTAACAAAGAAAGTGGAAAACTGTTCCACCCGATAAAACAGAAAAATAAAATTAATCAGTTATTTAGTAGAGAAAAAAATTAATTAATAAGAAATTATTAGGGTTTCCCAAGATATACACAGCGTTAGCTCCTTTTATATATAAGATTTAATTGGAGAAAATAAAATATTTAATTTAAATATTAGTGAAAAATTGGAAATGAATTATAGTCACAATCAGCGGAAGACAAACCAAAGTGAAAGGTGGAGAAAAAAGGTTGTCGTCCACTAGCCACAAGTTTCTACCTCCTCTTTTCACCGCTGATGAGAGAGAAAGAAGAGAGAGAAAGAGTGTGAAGGGCAAAAACGTCCATAGAGACCAAAACAGAAAACAATAAAGCCTCCTCATTTTTTTTACCATTTCCAGAAAGCTCATCAGCCAAACGTTCTCTGCCATTCAAATCTGCTCTCAGCTCTCACCTCTCAGCTCATCTCTTCTCTTGGGTTTCTTCTTCAACTCATCGAAATCAACAATTTCTACTTCCGGTAAGCCAATCTCTCACCTCACCCCAATTAATTAGCTTCAATTTTGTTCATTTTTTGTTTGTTGTTGTTGTTGCTTTTTATTATCTGATTTAATTGCTCCATGGAATTGGAATTAACTGTTTCATGCTCTTTTCTGTGTTATTTTCAGTAATTTCTAGCGATGGTGTTCGTGTTTATTTTTTTATTTTTTTATTATTATTATTTATTTTTGTTTAATTAAAAATAATGGAAATTGGATCAACTGTTGATGGTTGAGTTTTAGGGTGTTTTTTTAAGAGGTGGTGTTTCTGATAATTAATCGAAACTTAATCTCCAAAAAGTCGAAAGCTTCGAAGCTGGATCTGATGTTCTTGTGAGCTGAGCTCTGTAGATTAGATTTACATGTGTCTATGTGAATGTTATGAATGAGTTGATTGGAAGTAATTACAGTAGAACCTCGATAAATTAATAACCTCGTGTTGAATTATTAGTTCGATAATTTGATATTTCCCTAAATTAATAGAATTTTATTAGTCCCGACTATATTAATTTAAAGAGGTTTAATTGTAAAATAATTGATTTATCTTGACATATATTTATGTTTTATGGTGGTGTAGGTAAAAGCGAATCGAATCCGATGGAGTGGTATTTTGCAAACAATATGGAGAATCTGACGGTACCGAAAGACGAGGAGATGATGGACAGGCTTCCGTCACCGGATAGTTGGTCTTCATGGGGTAAAGTAGTTGGAAACTTCAACTCCCCAAAGAAACTAACTGTTTTAGGTGTGGAAGATTTTCTATTAAATGATAATAATGATGATGATGTTAACGACGACGATGATGTTGTCGAACAACTTAGTACACCGAGGTCTAGGCGCCAGCAAAATCGGCACCAAGACTCAGATTCTCAACTCAACAATCTTTCCAAAATCGATGATGCCGATGACATTTTCTTGTACAAATTCTCCGCTTTTTTTTTTTGTTCTTTAAGAATAAAATACATGCTTTCGTGCATGTTCGTTTTCATCCATGTAGATTTTAAATGTTTTTTGAAAAGATTCTCGATTCAAAGTAGTGAAGCTAATTTAATGTCTTGTACTCACTCCACTATATTCTTTATGTATGCACTAGATAAAGAAATACTTAGTCAAAGTAGTTGTGAATCGGTCGCGCTTATATATGTTGTTACGTATATAAATTGTGGTGGAATTATTTCGCAATTAATTAGGAATCGGGATTTTCAAACTTACTAGAGCGAGTGTGGAATTAGAGTTTATTTTGAACCGTTAGATACGAATATATTCCTTATCCGAGCTAGATTCGAATAGAACATCTACTTTTTGATTTTATTGCTTATTACTTTTATTATCGTCTTGTGCATAAATTATTTCCGGGTTTTCTGAATTCTTCAAAACATGTATTGTGCAGCCGTTCGATATTTGAAGCAGATGCCAGCTCAGCAGACAGAGCAGACAGTTCAGCGAGCTTTAGACAAGCTTCGAGCAACCAAGATCAGATGGCTATGGATAATCTTGAAAATTTCGGACATTTTCTACCTTCAGAGGTAAACATCCTCTGTTATTACAACAACTTTTAGTGCTTATGGATTGTTATACGTAACTGTAGTTTTCGAAATTATCAATAGTAGCTAATCTTTGTTATTTATTTTATTTTATTTTATAGGAAATGGAATTCGAGACGTCTAACTCGGACGAGCACTTTGAATTTGATATGTTTGAAGATATGAATGAGGAGGATATGTCTACGGAGGAATCGGTTTTACTTGAGCTACAAACATTGGCTTTACAGGTACCAATCGATATTATATATATTTATACGTGCGTATGTATATATATATATATATATATATATATATATTTATACACACACACACACATATAAAGATGATTAACAGTTTCCTCTTGTTATTTGAAATCTGCAGTTGGCTAATAAAACTAGGGTTTGCTTTCGCGATTCTCTGTACCGCCTCGCAGAAAATTCGAGACTTCATCAGAATAATTTTGGTCAGAATACGAAAGACGAAAACGAAAACGGCAAAGCCACAACTAGTGGTGGACCCTACAGGTAATTAGATTAAATGCTTTACATGGTTCATTTTATTACATAAATCATAGGCAAGGATAAGACGGTTGATTAAAGTTTGTGGAATACGTATGTATGACCTAAGATTGACCGTAGTATCCGTCTTTTTTTCATGTACACAGTGCAAGAGAATCCCAAGCTAAAAGATCGGACACAAACGCCATCGACAGAACCATCGCTACTCTCTTGTTCAATACGATACAGTGCTGCAATATAACTGCAGATACTGCACCAAATGTCACTGCAGAGAAGGCTGAAAAGGAGTACCAGGCCAACGATTTCTACCTATCGGGGTTTTACGAGCCTTCTCTTTCCACTACCGCAGATGGCGATGCGGAAGTCCCGACATTCGGTTTGACCAACCAACGGTTGACTAAAGCTCGGGCTCACTTCTCAGACACTTACGCAATGGCGTCTTGAACAAAAACAAAATCAAACCGAGTTTTTTTTTTTCTTATGTAAACAGACTGCTGGTAGTGTAATAAGCACCGAATACATTTTCTTCGTTTTTGGACTTGGTTGCATGTTTTCTTACGAACATGCCTTTTGCGGATTGTTTTTTGAGTCTCGTGTGGATGGAAATATATATATAATCATCGTTAATTAAATAATTGGATCTTTATTTGGTAGTCGATAATTAGTTCAATAATATTTCGAAATGGCCCCAAAAGTTCAAATCTACAAATGGTTATTGTGATTAAATATCTTTAATCACGCGACAAGTTCGACTAATTTTTGCCACTTGAGACTCAATCGAGAGTGATGTGACTAATGATATCGAGGCTGGCTTGGCCAAAAAAGGTTAATCTTTATGTATGAATAACTCATAACTTCATCATATTGTAAATCAAACGAGGAACGTAAACTATACCGGGTAACCATACGTGACAAGCTCGACCTAGCGACCGTTGGCAAAATGATTCAAACTTGGATCAATTGACACAAGCTCGCTTGCTCCAACCGCCAGATCATCCCTTTACGTGACCATTATTTATTACATATGTTGACGTCATATATTGACTTTCTTATTACCAACCGTTATTATAGCATTTACCTTTTTTATGATATTTTTTACCCCTTTGTTGGTTATCTATATTGTACAAGGGTTAGAAGCTTAAATGTGGCTAATTTTTTACCTCTATTTTTCCTTTTTTTTTTTTTTTTTTTTTCATTTGAATTAGTTATTTTTTGTTCATTTCTCCTTTTAATTTCACTATAATGTTCAGTGACAGCTCTAGTTCTCATCGACAAGTAGTCTGAGCTCAATTTCATATGGCATTATAAACCAAACGTATTAGTAACAGTATACCTAATTTCTTTAATTAAATTAAGTATCTCAAAATAGGACATCAAATCAGGTTAAACATCTCTCAATGTAACTCAAACGCCCAACATATTCAAACTCCATGAAGCTTCTATAATGGATTTTAATTACATAAAATTAACCTACCATTATATCCTACAAAAAATACGTTCAAATTAATAAAATATTAATATAAGCTAAACAATTGCTTAAGAAATCATCCAAAATACTGTTTGCTAGATGATCAATATTAGAAAAAGAATAAAGGAGATAATGACTCTGTATTTTTTTATTTTAACTACAATATTTTTAAGTACTGAAATTCACATATATTTTTTATAGACGAAAGGTGAGGGTAAAACTGTAATTGCACAACAAAACATTACAAACCTACATTTTTAATACATTTCCGACATATGTCACATATTGTTGGAATTTTTAATTGAATAAAATAATTAGGGTATTTCAAATAGGTGCATGTTTGGAATTTTGGAATGAATGGGTTTCTTTCCAAACAACACATCTATTTATGAAATAACTCTTTTCAAAACAACATATCCCTTCACAAAAGGACTCTTAAATTTCTATAAATAAGACAAAACCTGATCAGTTTTGCACAAGAGATAATAAGACGTTTGTGAATTTCTTCCTAAAAACTCTTATGTCAAAATTTTGTTCCTACGTTTCTAGTTCGCCGTGGGCTTCGAATTTGTGCAAATATCGAAGTATCCGACTGTTATATCTTGGGAGACTACCGGGAGTGACTGTTGCACCGTAGACAGCCCGGAAATATTGTCTTAAGGACATTGCTTTTGCAAGCCTCAGTCGATTTTTCGTTCTTCATATTTCCGGTTAATTTCTACCTCCAAGTAAGTGTAATTCTTATTCAACTATTTACGCAGATTGTTATATTTATACCAACAATCTTAAGACAATATATTTTTTTTATTTGTGTTATATATAAAAAATCTGCGTAATCCAAATGTGTTCTCAAATGAGAATATTTGCCTCTGTTTAAAACACAACGCGGAGATTATTTTCAAATTCATATATGCGTGCATACATTGATATATTAAAATATAATAGAGATAAAACTTCGTGGAAACATAACGTTGATCAAATTAAAATTTGGTTTGTCTATTTATGTGTTGAATAGTTTTTAGAAAACCAGTGTAAACTTATTTGTGAAATTCTAACTTTCATTGTTTATTTGGCCAATTTCTAATGTGTAGTACATTTGTGGATATATGTGAAGTATAAAAATGTCTTGTAAGTAGCCTAAATTGTTTCATTCGGAATAATTTATGTTTTTCTACAAATGTTGAAAATATCTATTTAGATGATATTATGTTTCTCGTTTTCATGCCATATATAATTTCTATATGCATTATCTGCACGAGAAACAAGGGTATGTTTTGAGGAGCTATCTGTCAAATACAAGTGAACGTTGCAAATATTTGGGTGCAACCATTAGTTTAATCAAATATTTTATATGCTTTGGTGGAAACATTTTTTATTGTGTTTGGAGATTTCATTACTTATATCTGCGTAGATAAATTAATTACTCCGTGTGGGTTGTCATTTTATGCCGTGGCATATAATTATTAAATTTCTTCATGCACAATGTGTTTTTAAATGATTGTGTAAATAGTAAATTACTTTTGAGTTGAAAAAACTCGTGTTTTCAACCAATTATATAACAATGCGTCGGTTCAAAAGACAGTACGTCTACGTGGAATTCTTTGTGAAGAATTTTAATCTGACTCATTTACTGCATTCATTTAGATTTGCTTCAAAACTAATGTGCATATATATGAATAACTTCTGTCAAATGTTAGTGGATCATTCCTTGGTTTCACAAGACCAAAACATGTTTGTGTGAATGTATATCTGTTGTCCACTTTTGATTTATAATTTTCAAATCATATGCTAAATGATAAAGGATTTACATGTGTGTAATCGTAAACTTTGATTTCAAAGTGGCTATTTACTATTTTGTGGAAATAGTAGTTTAAAGTATTTATATTTAAGTACTTGTGAATTTATATATATATATATATGTTCAAAAATCTGAGTAGATGGACATAAATTGTGGCTCATTAATGAGATCAATCAAATCGTAAAATCGGTTTTCAAAGGCCCGGTTGAATTCGTTTTATCAACCAACTTGTGGGGGGACTTTGTATAATATAGTTCCGCGCAAGGAAAATTATCTTTGGAAAAGTAGCAAATCGAGCTACAAATATCTCAAAGTGTGGGGGTGAGAAAAACTTGAAATCAAGTGACATTCTATTTTATTAAATTATCTCAATCACACTACATGAATAAAAGTGCTCGAGAAATTTAATTTACAAATGTAATAGTGTGACATAAGTTGAATATTCTCGAATATACTTTTGAGGAGTATAGTGAGACAAATTAGAATTTTGATTAATAAAAATCAAAATTAGTGAGTAATTATGTGTTCACTTAAGGATGTGTTGCTATTTCTTGGAAATTTTCCAAATTACAAATAGTGACTGCCACCTTTAAAGGTGTTGATATAATTTAAGTGAAAATACACACGATTACAATTGGATTTATCGGATAATTTATGAGGAAGCTCTTTATATGTCTAGTAACATATTTATTAGAGTTTCGTACAAGAAAGTACCTTTATCTTTATGAGTAATTGGGAATGTATGGAGTTGAGTGATAAATATCTGGAAATGTGGGGGTATTTAGCTATAAGTCAAATATGCTTGTATTTATCCTTGAAGGATATAGTGATGCATACTACACTTTCCAGTAAGATGAGTCGAAATCAACGTGTGCTTAAGTATTCACCTTACGAGATATTATTTCTTGGAAAATCTTCCATACAATTATGTATAGCTAGATCTATTGTGAAATTGAATAAAGCGAGAGAAATTGAGTGACTTCATAATTTCTTGGAGGATATTCCAGTAAGGTTGAAACTTGTGTCAGCCTTATATTGCGATAATCAAATAAACAATGCATAGAGCATATGACTTTATGTATAATGGTAAGTCTCGACATATTCGTCATAGACATCATACCGTGAGAACATTTACTCTCTAATAGAATAATTTCTATTGATTTTGTGAAATCCGAAGATTACCTATTGGATCCAATTAGTATAAAGGTTTATCTAGTGAGAGTTGAATGTGCATCGAGGGGAATAGGTTTAAAGCCTAGATAACTAAGTTACCTTATACGGAAACCTAACTTGGCGACTGGAGATCCCACGGACCAAGTTCAATAGGACAACCAGTTCTGTGTAACTTAACCAAATGTAGCACTTAGGAGTTTAACTCCATCCTATTCCTTTGATGCGATAAGTGCAACCTACGACGTTTAAAAAGGTTAAGTTATTGCTTTTAATGACGTCTATATCTTGTCAAGTACAAGTGGGGTATAGTAGGATACTCTTTATTGATGCGGTCACCTATGTTAGTGTGAGCTGGGTCGGCTCGTTGAGAATTCTTATAAAGGCTTAAATTCTCTAAAGCACTCGCAGAACCCGAGAATGTTCAGGGCCGAAATGAACACAACCGAGAACTTGAAACACGCGTGTTTAGTACGGTGTTAAGTTTATTGTCTTGGTTTACACAAACAGCCGACAGTTCAAGATGAAATAATTCACTGATTGGCTAAGTAAATCCGATAAACTTTAACTAGGGAAGGTTCAAGATGAAATATTTCACCTATCCCGATGCCGTACTATTCCTAAAAGAATTTTTTGACAATATGGTCTCATGAGATGAGGTTGGAAGAATAATTTTATTCATGTGGGGGATTGTTGGAATTTTTAATTGAATAAAATAATTAGGGTATTTCAAATAGGTGCATGTTTGGAATTTTGGAATGAATGGGTTTCTTTCCAAACAACACATCTATTTATGAAATAACTCTTTTCAAAACAACATATCCCTTCACAAAAGGACTCTTAAATTTCTATAAATAAGACAAAACCTGATCAGTTTTGCACAAGAGATAATAAGACGTTTGTGAATTTCTTCCTAAAAACTCTTATGTCAAAATTTTGTTCCTACGTTTCTAGTTCGCCGTGGGCTTCGAATTTGTGCAAATATCGAAGTATCCGACTGTTATATCTTGGGAGACTACCGGGAGTGACTGTTGCACCGTAGACAGCCCGGAAATATTGTCTTAAGGACATTGCTTTTGCAAGCCTCAGTCGATTTTTCGTTCTTCATATTTCCGGTTAATTTCTACCTCCAAGTAAGTGTAATTCTTATTCAACTATTTACGCAGATTGTTATATTTATACCAACACATATCCCA